CTCCGTTAATAAGGTAACCTTCTGCAGGTGTGTGGGGAGGCGGACCAGAACCAGGCGCCTCCTGGTGGAGGAAGGGAGACAAACACAGAAACACACACACACACACACACACACGCACACACACACACACAGGAATCCTGACAATTCCTTAAAAGATGTATGGTTCTTTTATTATATGTTGATATTGCATTCGATTAGCTGTACATTGAGGACATTGGCCTGTATGTAATTAATTTCTATCATGTGTTTTACTAAGTGAACTGAGTTATTGAAATGAATAAGCTTTCAATTATAATTCTAAAAGAGAAGAACCTGCAATTGTATGTATTTTCATTATATTTGTTGAATCTTTCAGGGTAACCTGAGGGACTACAGATTAAAAAGATGTTTTTTTCTTGTTTTTTTTATGTTGTTGTTTTTTTTACAGTGTCCTGTCTGGCAATGTGGCAATAAGAATAATTTTCTGTCTGCCAAAAATAGTCCGACAGATTTTACTTTTACAAGTGGAGCAGTACGGCTGTCGCCATAGTGTTCCGCTTGATTTATGCATATAAATTGCTTTATTATAATTATGCAGGGAGTTTTACAGATTATATGGACACTGCAATGTAAGTAGAACAGGAAAGGAAAAACAGAAAAAAAAGGAGAAAAGATGAAAGAAAGAGGAGATAAAAGGGAGATAATGATAAAACATTGTCAGTCTGCTTCCTCACCTGGAAATAGATGTAAAAAGAACAGTATAACTAATGGATATAGTACAAGATATACAATAAAGTAACACCTACAGTAGATACTATTGCTGAAATATAAGTAGCATTGTTTAATCTGACATGTATTCTGTGTTACCTGAAGATAAGAAAATGGGCTTTCTGTATGGAAGTGAATATCTAAGAACCTGGAACCAAGCACCTGTAGTTGTTTGTGAAAGTGCACTTGTGCATGTAAAGTTTATCCAAAGAATTTTTATTTGAAAATCCTCTATGTTTCAGTTTATTCTTGGGTATTTTCTCATACAAGATAGGAAAAATGATAGCTATCCTCTGAATCCGTTGTAAGATCTCTTCTGTCTTCTTCCTCCATAAATCTATTTATGGTCTGTTTGTTTTCTTTCTTCTTGTTGTTGGCAATGTTCTTTATTGGTGGGTAGGATAGAAAAGAGTCTGTTATAATCAGCTGATTCCTTGTGTCGCACTATCTGTGGCGCATAGCTTTATAAAAAGCGCTAATAAGCCGTAATAAGCTAAATCGGCCAGAGTTTGTTTCCTCCTCTTGGTCCTGAGCTTTTGTGCAGGTCTGATTTAAGCCCAGCAAAATCTGGTCCAGACAAAAAATAACTGGATCAAGTCTTACTTATT